ATATCCATTTATCATTTGCTCCTTATCTATTAATCACCTGTTCCATACTGATTAATCACCTGCTTATTGTTTAATCACATGTTCCTTTTTAGGTTATTCACCTGTTCCTCATCTATTAATCACCTGTATTCATATTGATTAATCACCTGTTTATCGCTTAATCGTGTGTTCCTATTTGATTTTTCACCTGTTCCTCATCTATTAATCATCCATTTTCATATTGATTAATCACTTGTTCCATATCCATTTATTGTTTGCTCTTTATCTATTAATCACCTGTTCCTTATTGTTTAATCACATGATTAATCATTTGTTCCACATCTATTAATTACTTTTTTGTTATCGATTAATTGCCTGTTCCTTTTCAATTAATAACATGGTCCATATTGATTAATTATCTAGGATTTATTGAACAACTTTGTGCCTAAATCAATAATCATCTGTGGTTGCATTGATTAATCCTGAATGGACTGCAGGGCGTTAACTTTCATCTCAGGCCTCAAACACGACAGAACTGCAGCCACTGAGCTTTTGATTCATTAAGTGTTTATGGTAACAATGAAGCCCCCCCCCCCCCCCCCCACACACACACACACACGCGCGCACAATAGAAAGAAGTACCTGTATGGTTTGGCGGTTGTAGACTTTGACAACGTGGAAGTTAAAACTGTAAATCCCTTTTCGTGGCGCGATGAAAGTACTTCGCTCCTCTTCAAAATTTCTCCCAATGTTTACTAAAACCTGAGCGAAAGAAAGAAAGAAAGAAAGAAAGAAAGAAAGAAAGAAAGAAAGAAAGAAAGAAAGAAAGAAAGAAAGAATTATTTTAATTATTTGTTATGGTTTTTTTTCTGCCATTGTGAAAGCATGAAGTGAAGGATTGAAATGAACAAAGGGCTGAGCTGAACCGGTCCGCAGCACATCCTCCTGGTTCTGTTGGATCAGATTCCAGGGGATGTTCTGGAAGGTGTTGGTTCAGAAGTCCTTCTGGGACCGTTAGCTGGGACTTTAATGGCCCCTGTGGCCCCGGACCACCCTCAGATTATAAACTGTGCTGTAATCTGATCTGGAGACGAATAAAGTGAACTGTTCCATTGTTTTAAATGACCGAGAGGTTCTGCTGCAGCAGCTGGACCTGCAGCAGAACCTGAGGTTCTGGTCCTTCGAACAGTTTCACTGGATGCAGGTTTTAAACTTGTTCAAACTCAGATCTGTGAGCAGCCGGTTCTGGTGAACTGAACCATTCTGGCCTTCATCTGGATCAGAGGAACTTTTCACAGCAGTCCGTTTATTCACCACTGGTTCTGAGCTTTGATTCAGTACTTCAGTACCAGAACCATCGATAACAGAACCTTCAGTACCAGAACCATCGATAACAGAACCTTCAGAGGAAGACAACCTGCTTTCCTTTCATGCAACACAACCAAACAGAAGTTCTGGTCCTACCTGGTCGAAGTAGATCACCATGGTCCGGTTGCTCATCTCGGACGGTTCGTGGTTCGTGTTCCGGACCGCGGAGAACGCCACCTTGGCGCTGCCGGAGCGCACGGAGATCCCGAGCGCGGTCCCGGTGGGGTCCGAGGTCGGGTTGGAGTCACAGACCACCAGGCACTTCCCCTCCAGGACGATGGGTTCGGTCTCGTTCTGAGCCCGAACCGGGCTGGCCGCGAGCCACGCGGCACTGAGCAGGCAGAGGAGCAGCATGCCGAACCGGACCGGCTCTGGTCCGCCTTTTAGGGCAGGAAGACTTTCCAGGTGTTCTCGTAAACCTGCACAGTTCGGTCCGGGTTTTAGGTTCTGGGTCAGTTTTACCTGCACAGTTCGGTCCGGGTTCTGGTTTAATGATGCTACTCCTCGTTTTTCCCGCCGTTTGTCCTGTCAGGTGTCCAGTCCAGGTGTCTCACCTGGACTCCTCTGGTCCTGGTCACAGTCCTCAGACCCGTTCTCCTCGTGTCCCTGCGGTACGTGAGGAGTCTCGCGCAGAACCGAACGTGGTAACAGAACTCATAGCGCGTGAGAGGAGCTGATGCTACAGAGCGGCGCGCGTGCCTGAATTATTCATGTGAGATCTGAGTTTGGAACCGACGGATCCGGAGGACCAGAACCCTCCCTCGGTCCTCCCCGGGACCGGAGCCTCGGCTTCCGATTAGCGCGTGCGCGTCAGCAGGTTTTCCAATCAGCGCGTGCTGACCGCCTCCTCCACGCCCCCCAGATGAAAGCGGATGATAAAAGAAACCGACCCCTTTCTTCTCAGTCTGACCCGAACAGACTGAAGCTCCTGGATTTGGTTCGAAAAGATCCACTAAATGGTTCCGTTCCATGACAGAAAGATTAGACACTTTACACACACCAACATAAATGTCTGGGAACGCCCACATGATGATGTCATGGCTTTAGAAGTTTCTGATTGGTTAGCTGACACCATCAGAGTTAACTGGAGGAACACCTGTGAACGCGCCACCTCTTTGTGATGCATCATGGGAAAATCTAAGGAAATCAGTTGAGATATCAGGGAGAGAACCATGACTCCATGACTCCAGTTCCTCCTGGGATCCACGTTCAGATCAACAAAGGTTCCAAGTTCCACTGTTCCAAAAATTAAACACAAGTTAGACAAGATGCTGCGTTCTACGATACAGCTTAGGAAGAAGACGGGTTCTGCGTTCCATCATATCGCACAGGAAGGAGACAGGTCCTGTGTTCTATCGTATCGTACTGCTTAGGAAGGAGATGGACTATGTGTTACATCGTACAACTCAGGAAGGAGACAGGTAAATTAGGAAATAGATGTGTTCTGTGTTCCATCATACAGATCAGGAAATAGACGGGTTCTCTGTTCCATCATACAAATCAGGAAGTAGATGGGTTCACTGTTCCATC